AGCTGCTGCTGCTGCTGCTGCTGCTGTTGCTGCTGCTGCTGCTGCCTATAGGTAGAGCAGGCGCAACACGTGCTTGGCGGCTATAGCTTGGGGCTTAGGGTTTAGGGTTTAAGGCTAAGGATCCAAAATTCAAGATTTGGCATTAAGAGTTGAGGGTTTAGCGTTTGGGATCTAGGGTTTAGGGTTTAGGGTTTAGGGTTTGAAAGAGCTGCTGCAGGTGCTTGCCCGAGTTCGCGGCGCTGCTAGGCCCTCAGAAAATCTCCACATCGAAACGCCCCCTGCAGCAAACCACTCTGCAGCAGCAGCAGCAGCAGCAGCAGTTCCTGCAGCAGCAGCAGCAGCAGCTCAAGCAGCAGCAGCAACAGTTTTGGGGCCCTGGATGGCTGCAGGGCGGTTACCTCGATGATGTAACATCTTTTGATTGTGGCTTCTTTGGGATTTCGCCTGCCGAAGTAACCCTAAACCCTAAACCCTAAACCCTAAACCCTAAACTCTAAACCCTAAACCTTAACCCTAAAGGCTAGGCGTCAGGACGCACTCTAAACCCTGAAGGCTTAGTACTAGAGAAGAGCACTCGAGCTGCCAAGGTTTCAGTTGCCCTAAGCCAGACTGCTGCTGCTGCTGCTTCTGCTGCTTTTGCTGCTGTTACTTCTGCTGCTGCTTCTATTGCTGCTGCTGCTGCTGCTGCTCTTGCTGTAGGCAAGCTGCATGGACCCGCAGCAGCGGCTGCTGCTGGAGGCAACATACGAAGCAATCGAAATGGCAGGGCTCTGTACCAAACGGCTGCAGCAGCAGCAGCAGCAGCAGCAAACCCACCACGTGCGGCAGCAGCAGCAGCAAAGTGCATTGGAGGAAATAGGCGAAGACACTGCGGTGTACATCGGCTGCAGCTCTGTCGACTGGTGCGGCAACAGCAGCAACAGCAGCAGCAGCAGCAGCAGCAGCAGCAACAGCAGAAGTAGCAGCAGTCGCAGCAGCAGCGGCAGCAAGGGGCTCTTTCGTAAAGTGGGATGCAGCGACTGCAGCCAGGACTGCAGCAATAGTAGTAGTAGTGGCGGCAGCAGCAGCAGCAACAGCAGCAG